AAACAGCATTGGCGTAAGGCCCAAACATGGCATTCAGCCCAATTTACAGAAAATCTTTCTAAAACATATAAGTATGAATGGTTTCAACAAAGTATGCAACTTTACAGTTGCTACGGAACGAACCAAGTCATAAATCCCCAACAGTGCACGCCCACACGCCCGTCACCTAGTATGTGCGTAACTTCAAAATAGTAGAATGATATGAAATATGAGGTTTCATACTCTCAGGACTAGATTTACAATCGTTNAGTACACGCCCACACGCCCGTCACCTAGTATGTGCGTAACTTCAAAATAGTAGAATGATATGAAATATGAGGTTTCATACTCTCAGGACTAGATTTACAATCGTTACTTACCTCAAACCGGTCAAATCTCTAACTCGCAATGATCTTGCCTCTGGACTCGGCCTCCAAATGCTCTGAATCTATTCACAATCAGTACAATACCATCAATACGCGCTAATGGAATGAATTCCACAAGAAAAACTACAAAATTAGACCAAAACTCGAAATTGGCTCAAACCCGGCCCCCGGGCCCACGTCTCGAAATCCGACAAAATTTACAAAACTAGAAATCTCCTTCACGCACGAGTCTAACCATATCAAATTCAATAAAATCCGACATCGTTTGGTCCTTCAAATCCTTAAATTACTCTCCAAAAATTCCAAGCCCTAACCCCTCATTTCCACAAAATACCATGATTAAAACAACAGGAAATCACCAAATATACAAGTATTAGGGCTCAAGTAACTTACCTCAACGAAATCCTCTTGATTCCCTCTTCAAACCTCTCCCAAAAGCTCCAAAAACCGAGTTGGAATTGTGAAGAATGACCAAAATTCTCAAAGGGTTCTATTTATGGTTTCTGCCCAGGTTTTTCGCACCTGCGGCCATTTTCTTGCACCCGCGCGACCGCACCTGTGCAATCACTTAAACACCTAGATTCTGCACATGCGGACCCCTTCCTCGCACCTGCGGATTCGCATCTGCGGTCCCAGGTGCGCATGTGCGAAACCAGTCCAAACTTCTCATCTCCGCATCTGCGCTCAAAGCCTCGCACTTGCGGGCTCGCAGATGCGGCCAATTTTTTGCACCTGCATTCCCAGCCATGGCCCAGCGCCTCCCGCACCTGCGTATTCCCCACGCGCACCAGTGGCCTCACACCTGCGAACCTTTCTTCTGCAGGTGCGGAAATAGCAGAAGCAGCAGCTCCGGCTGCAATTTCCAACTTCAACAAATCAGTTAACCATCCAGAATCACCCCGAGGCCCTCGGGACCTCAACCAAAAATACCAACAAGTCATATATCAACATACCATCGTAGTCGAAACTTCGAATCACTCAAAACAACATCAAATCATCAAATTACCGTCGGATTCAAGCCTAAGAACTTCTAAATTTCTAAATTCGGCAACCGGTGCGAAAACCAACCAAACCACGTCCGAATGACCTCACATTTTTCACACACGTCACAAATGACACTACAAACCTACTCCAACTTCCAGAATTCCATTCCGACCCCGATATTAAATTTTCCACTGCCGACTGAAATCGTCAAATTTCCAATTTCGCCAATTCAAGTCTAATTCTACCACGGACCTCCAAATCATATTCCGGACACACTCCTAAGTCCTAAATCACCTAACGGAGTTAACTGAACCATCAGAATTCAAATCCGAGATCGTTTACCCATAGGTCAATATCCGGTTGACTTTTCTAACTTAAGTTTCTACTTAAGAGACTAAGTATCTCAATTCACTCCGAGTTCCTTCCGGACCCGAACCAACTAACCCGATATAACATAATATAGCTGAATAACACAAAAATAAGTAGAAATGGGGAAAACTGGATTATAACTCTCGAAATTACCGGTCGGGTCGTTACATCATTTCATTGTATATCATATCAAGGTCTCTGTTGTTATTTATTAATACATCATATCATCATTTTTGGGCTATTTTCATGACATTGTGAGCCCGAGAGACTGGAAAGATTAATGACTGAGTAAGGCCGAGGGCCCGATTGTGAGGATTATTATGTGGATCGGGGCTGCCCGCCTGCAGCAAGCCTTATAAGCTTTATTATAGCACGTGAGTTAGCCGTGCAGCACGTGAGTTATTCGTGCGGATTCTTATATTATACTATAGCACGTGAGTTTGGCCGTGCAGCACGTGAGTTATCCGTTCGGATCCTTATATTATACTATAGCACGTGAGTTGGTCGTGCAGCACGTGAGTTGGCCGTGCAGCACGTGAGTTGGCCATGCGGATCCAAATATTTATATAATGGCACGTGAGTTGTCCATGCAGAACGTGAGTTATCCGTGCAGATTATAGCGCTTGGGATGTAGGAGCCCCTCGGGAGTCTGTACACATCCCAGTTAGCGCAGGTACCTACTAAGTGCGATTGCCGAGTGCGAGTGCTGAGCGATTGGGATGACTGAGTGACTGGGAGGACTGAGTGAAATGATACTCTGAGAGTATGCATATGATTTTATCACTGGGTTGAATCGCATTGATATGCATACATGACATACAAGCATAGAGATGTATTTTTCTCATGATGTACAGTATCACATCATTCATGATTTTTCACACACGTTGACAGATGGGCATAGTGATGCATTTGTTTTACACGGGTTATCTGCAATAAAAATGAAACATCTCATTTATTATTGAAAGGATTTTTGAAAAATTATTGCTTTCAAACTTATTCATATTTTTGACAACTTCGTTAAACGATTTGGGTTTTTACTGATGTACTTGAAAGGAAGAACTACTTTTAGAAATCATAATTTAGGTGAGCATTTTATCTCTAAGTTACTTCTTGTATTATTTACTTTACGTGATTATGGACTGTTGTGGACTATTAGTTTTTGGACCCGACCTTGGTAAAAACTCGTCACTGCTTTCAATCTAAGGTTAGGTTTGTTACTTACTCATTACATGGGGTCGGTTGTACTGATATTACACTTCTGCACATTGCGTGCAGATGCTAACTGTTGTTGTTACTGTACTCGATGGTTGCCAGATTTGAAGATGTACCTGCGTTCCTATTGTAGCTGCCTCTTGTTCATGGTAACCTTAGATTCATAAAACTCTGTTTATGTACTTTTCAAACAGATAATGTATTTATTTCATACCAGCTTTGTATACTCTATTCTTAGAAGCTCATGATTTATACTACCAATTCTTGCGGAATGTATAAGGTTAAGATAATTATTTACTTAAATTATTTTAATAATTGTTATTGGAATTGGATAGTTGAAAATTGGCTTACCTAGCGGGTTGAATTATGTGTCATCACGACTAGTTTCATTTTGAATCGTGACAGATATAAAGATATAAAGAGGGAATTCAGAAGGAAATGTCACTGTCAATATAATTAAGTTTGGATAGACTAGAAAGAATAATTTTGAAAGAAAAGATGTGGATTCCCCGAAACTTCACCAAAGAACAAGTAAAACGCATACATATGCAAAAACACACGTGTATATATATATGTAGTACTGCTGAAGAGCAGAGGCTATAAGAAGCTTGAACCCACAAAAGATAGCATAACCAGAATGGCAAAGGGCAAATATACTCCAGTATTTTTGAAAATGATATAAAAATATCCCTCGTTATACTATTGGGTTATATATACCCTTTTTGTCATACTTTAGAACAAATATACTTTTATTTTTGATGGAGTGTCACGTGACAACACCAGATAAAAACGACCCATTTTTTTTTACTCGATCCGTTTTAAACAACCCACCACCCGACCTGTTTTAAAATTTAGTTTTTTTAAAGCATATATTTTGTAAAAACTGAAATTTCTTTTTGCAAAAACTGAAAAAAAAAAAAAATTTGCAATATATATATTTTTAAGTCTTTTCAGTTTTTCTAAAGTATTTTTATTTTGTAAAAACTGGAAAAAAAAAATTATAAAAACCGAAAAAAAAAAAAGACTCCTAAAGCAGTGGACTACATATGCATTAGTTTAAAAAAAAAAATTGCAATTTTTTTTTTCTAATTTTTACAAAAACAAATTACTTTAAAAAACTGAAAAATATATATTTTGAAAATTCCTTTTGTTTTTCAGTTTTACAAAAAAATATTTTTTTAAAAAATGCTTTAAAACTGAAAAATATATATTTTGTAAAAAAAAAAAAAGAAAAGAAAAGAATTTACAAAATATATATTTTTCAGTTTTTTTGGTTTTTTAAAGTATCTGTTTTTGTAAAAACTGGAAAAAAAAATATTTTGCAATTTTTTTTATTTTTTTTAAACTAATGCATATGTAGTCCACTGCTTTAGGAGAGTCTTTGTTTTCCAGGTTTTACAAAAAAATATTTTTTTTTCAGTTTTTACAAAAAAAAAAATACTTTAGAATAACTGAAAATACTTAAAAATATATATTTTGTAAATTCTTTTCTTTTCTTTTTTTCAGTTTTACAAAATATATGCTTTAAAAAAAACTGAATTTTAAAACGGGTCGGGTAGTGGGTTTTTTAAAACCGATCGGGTAAAAAAAAAATTGGTCGTTTTGATCTGGTGCTGCCATGTGGCACTCCATCCAAAATAAGGGTATATTTGTCCAAAGTATGACGGGAAGGGTATATATAACCCAATAGTATAACGAGGGGTATTTTTAGACCATTTTCGAAAATACATGGATATATTTGGTGCCTAACAATACTCTTAGAAAAGATGTGCTTGTGGTTATGGTGCCCTTTCCGGCACAAGGGCATCTAAATCAACTCCTCCACTTATCTCGCCTCATCTCCGCCTACAATATTCCTGTCCATTTTCTTGGGTATGAAAATCACATTCGTCAAGCCAAGCATAGGGTTCATGGTTGGGACACTATTACTACTTCCAACTCTATCCATTTCCATGAATTCCCAGCGCCTAAATTCCATGTTTCTCCAAATTCCAAGCTAATGGCTACTACTACTGCTTCTTCGGTTGAATCACGTTCAGAGATTGTTACAAACCAAATCCATGCATCTGTAGGGCTGCATGAGCCTGTAAGCTTAATTCTACATGAACTCTCACGCAAAGCTAGAAGACTGATAGTTGTGCATGACGTACTAAAAGCTTCATCTGTTCAGGATATACGAACTTTATCCAATACTGAGGCTTACGTTTTCCACAGCACTTCTTGTTTTACTACTTTTGTCCATACAGCCGGCAAGAATCTTCCTCAACTCGTCCCAACTGATTCTCAACTGCTTAAGCTTGACCTTCCAATCCCTGACAATTGTTTTTCACCAGATTTCGTGAGTTTTATAAGAAAGCAGATTGCAAGTTGCCAGAACCTTTTGTCCGGACATATCTATGATACGTGCAAAGACGTGGAAGGTAAATTCTTTGAGTTAGTTAAGTTGCTTTTCCCTGAGAAATTTCAATGGGCTCTTGGTCCATTAATTCCAGTGGTATTTCCAGAAAGAAACTCCTCCAATGTTGATCGTCATAAATGCCTGGAATGGCTTGACAAGCAAGCTCCTAACTCTGTCATATTGGTTTCATTTGGAACATCAGTTTCATTGTCAGAAGAACAAATCAAAGAGCTCGCTATTGGGTTGGAGCAGAGACAATATAAGTTTATTTGGGTACTGAGAGATGCAGATAGAGATAATGAGGGTGATTCAACTAGCAGAGACGAACGGAGAGTTTACCTGCCAAAAGGGTATGAAGAGATGGTGAAAGCAAGAGGAATTGTGGTTAGAGACTGGGCACCCCCAATTGGAGATTCTGGGGCACTTGTCAATAGGTGGATTTCTAAGCCATTGCGGATGGAATTCATGCACAGAAAGCATCAATATGGGAGTTCCAATAGCAGCTTGGCCAATGCACTCAGATCAACCATGTAATGCCTTTCTAATTACTGATGTGCTGAAAATTGGTACTAAAGTTAGAGAATTCCATCAACATGATTTGGTTAGATCTGCAACCATTGAAAAAGTATTAAAAACACTCATGGCTACTGAAGAAGGAAATGAGATGAGGCGGAGGGCCGCAGAATTAGCCAACAGAGTTAGGCAGTCCGTCGTGGATGAGGAGGGTCTCACTCGCTTGGAGTTGATCTCCTTTATTGCTCACATCACAAAATAATTACTCTTTTTCTTCATTTTTCAAGAGTCAACCTCTTTTAACAAACCCTTTTTAATCATTTTTTAACTTATACAAGGAAAAAAGATGCATTTCTGCATAATTCGAGGTGTGTCTTTTGAGTCATACTAGAATATTCATTACTTATGGTTCATGTAATTAGGAGTTTAAGGGTTGATGTAGTAGTATATAAATGTGAGTCTACTGGGTTGTTTTGCAAGAGTGAAGTTATTCATAGTGTAATTTGTGTGCTTTATGCGCTGGTCTCCTTTTCTATCCTCGTGCCTTAAAATTTTTATCCTTTGAATTGTGTTATTCTTTTCTTCCATTTTCAATAAAGTGGTAGCAAGGGCCTAATTTAAATTCCAACTCTGTTGGATTCCTTTTCCTACACTGAACTAGAAATGGAAAGGGAAGTGGGTCATTCCGCTAGTCGCGAGATTTTTCCATAATGAACTACTCTTTTCTCAATCTAACGCGTCGTACACGCACAATAGGAACTCCAAGACTAAGGTCATCTCAACATCTACATGGGCATTATCAGCCGGCACAATGCAGGAGAGCGCACTGCACCCCTCGCATCATCCTCCTAATGCAATTAACTCCTAATGCCAGCCGACACACTGCAGCCCGCGGCATGAGCAATCGGTTATTAACTTTTCACCAACAAACTTAAATACAAGTACACAAGGACTCTTAACTTGGAAAAACAAGGAGAGCAAAATGTCAGGAAGAGGCTTTAACTTTTGACCTTCTCTATCTAAATCAACCAAGCTTCATCATCAAAGTATAAACCAAATCACAAGACAAAGGGTTAAATTCCAGTTTAATCATCTTTTATCAAGAAATAACAGTTTAATCATAAAATTCTTACAAGAATCAATGCGGCACCCTCTGACAAAGTTAATGAAACAGAGAAAAAGTATTACATAGTCGTCGTCTCGTCGACAATACAAATATAGTTCAATATCTGTGAAATCATCAAAGAATCACAGCATGATGAAAGCACTATTTTTCCATATAAGAAACACTGTAAGGTAATCCAGGTAACTGAATAGATAAACACTATGAATTAGCTCCGCTTAAAAAGAACCCCTAGAAATAGAAAGGAGACTAGTCTGCTTACCTGGCTCCGCTCTGGTGCAACAATCGCTGCAAGCAACAACGAACTAAACTGGAACTGACGACAACGAATTAAACGCAAGTTTATTCCGTTGCACAGAAAGTTGAATAGAAGATCACTGAGTATTTCTGTTTCCTTTCTTTTCGGGTAGCTAAATGCTCCATGCTAACTTCCTAATCAACGCTCGATTTTTCAAGGATTTGATTGAAATTTTAAGGTGAAAGAGAAGAGAGGGAGCGAAAAATAGGCACACATTAGTTTAGGGATTAAATTTTATGAGGCAAAAAGGCAAAAATCATGTTAGTTCAGGTAAAAATTATTTAATTTTGTGTTTATTATCTAAAAGTTATTTTTTTTTCTTTTGTTATACAAAAATTATTTTATTTTACTCTATTTATTACAAAAGTCACTTTCGCCATATTTTACAATACTTTTACCTAAAAAAACTATTATGCCCTTGATATTATAAATCCTCTCATTTATATAATACCTTCTGTATGATATACTATATAATAATTATTTATCTAAGTATTTTACTTATAATTATATAACTATAAATATTTTATTTATTATTTTATAATATATTCATACATTTAATATTTTCATGGCAATCACTTTGTTTAATCATATGTAAACATGAACATATTTTAAATATCATGAAGTGGACTCGCTTATACCATTAGAATTCTTTGAATAAACTTGAGTACTTCTTCTTTTTCTAAAAAAAAGTTAATCCAAATTCGTAAGGAAAAATTCAATAATGGCGAGTAATGTTCCATATTGGTGGTAACATAATAATGTTAATCATATCATCATACTTTACGTGAGAAGCCCTAAAATCAAAAATATTCCACAAAAGCTAAAAAATCATTTTATCCTTCATTAATTAAACACTATTCTAATATGTCACTATTTTGTGACGGACAGGTCCGTTATAACTTCATTTCCCAAAATATTATTTACTAATACACACGAATTAAAAGTCTAATAGAGCCTCATTTCCATCATAAATTTGTGATAGATCGCCATTTCTGTCATTAATTTATACTCCTCCCGGTCCATTTTAAGTGATATTTTGGCCTTTTTGTGATCCACAATATTAGATTTTTTCAAATATCAAGAAGGAATTAACGTTTTCTTTTCAAAATTGCCCTTGGAGTAAAAGAGTCTAGGAGTAGTTTGTTATATTTCTAATGAGCAAATTATGGTTAATATGGTCAATTTCATTGTTAATTAATGCTAATAGATGAATTTTTTAATATGTGTAAAAAGAGCCAAAATAATTACTTAAAGTGGACCAGAGGAACTAGATAACTAAATTGTGACAAATCATCATCTTTTTCATCACAAGTTTTGTTTAATGCATTAATGAATTCCATTATAAATTTGTCACAAATTCATCACATTTTTGTGATGGACATATTCCTCATAAATATCCCGTCACAATTTTGTGTTTTTCTTATAGTGATTAGTGATATATATATATATATATATTGTTGCGGAAGCCGAATATATAGAGAGTGATTAAATCACAACTACAACATCTAAAGATAGCTAATAAATAATAAATGAGATAATAAAAAAAAAATACCAGAAATTAACGAGGTTCGGCAAAATTGTATTTTTGCATAGTCCTCGGACACAATCAGCTCAAACTTTATTTCACTACAAAAAATACAAGTGAAATACTACAAGAGAGAAAGAAGATTCAAATGCCTTAGGAGATAAGAAGGAAAGTGAAAGATAATTGAAAAAGTGGAATCTTGCCAAGGTGGAGATTTGTTGAATTTGACAAGATTAATATGAACTAGTGTGAACATTTGAATCCTCTTTTTTGGAAGAAATTGGTAGATGCATTTTCATGCATTTACATTGCATGATCACACTTAATATGATGTCATGCATGACATTATTAAGGATATTTTTCTTCTATAAATAGCAAGGATTTTGTTCATTTGTAAACATCTCTCACTTACCTTCTTATCTCCTAAGGCATTTGAATCTGCTTTCTCTCTTGTAGTATTTCACTTGTATTTTTTGGAGTTAAATAAAGTTTGACTTGATTGTGTCCGAGGACTAGGCAAAAATCAAATTTTGTCGAACCTCGTTAATTTCTGGTGTTCTTTTTATTATTGTCTCATTTATTATTTATTAGCTACCTTTAGACATAGTAGTTGTGATTTAATCACTCTCTATATATTCCGCTTTCGCAACAATTGGTATCAAAGCCATAGTTCTATCTTAGTATGTTATGTGGTTGCAGCATAGTCTGAACTTCCATATCAGAAAAGAATTACTTTGGTGTTCTGTACTGTCAGCAAATAAATAGTATCTGTAGCAAAATGAGAGATAATAAAAATGAAGAGTACACATCGGGTGTCAGTAATACGTCGTTGGCATCTTCGCTTATGACAAGAATTATGTCAAATGCGAAATTTGCAGTTGAAATTTTTGACGGGTTGGGACATTTCGGGATGTGGCAAGTTGAGGTTCTTGATGTCCTTTTTCAACAAGGGCTAGATATTGCCATAGAAGAAAATAAACCAGACAATATCGGAGAAGAAGATTGGAAGATTATCAACCGCGTTGCTTGTGATACCATTCGATCTTACCTCGCAAGAGAACAGAAGTATCCATACACAAAAGAAACTTCTGCAAGTAAATTGTGGAATGCATTGGAGGATAAATTCTTGAAGAAAAACAGTCAAAATAAACTTTACATGAAAAAAAGACTGTTGCACTTCACATATGTTCCTAGTACTACAATGAATGATCACATCACCAACTTTAATAAGTTGGCGACAGATTTGCAGAATATGGACGTGAAATTTAGTGATTGAGATATGGCCTTAATGTTATTAACTTCACTTCCTGATGAGTACGAGCACCTCGAAACAACTCTACTTCATGGGAATGATGATGTATCTCTCAAAGAAGTTTGTTCTGCCTTATACAACTATGAACAAAGAAAGAGAGAAAAGTAAAAGAGTGGAGAAGGAGAAGCACTGGTTGTGAGAGTTCGTTCTCAAAATCATATGAGAACTAAGAAAGGAAGATCCAAGTCAAGATCCAGACCTAGCAAAGATGAATGCGCCTTTTGCCGAGAAAAAGGGCACTGGAAGAAAGACTGTCCAAAGTTGAAAAACAAGGCCAAACCTAAAAATGAGAAGGCTGTCATGGATTCAAATGTTGCTGATTGTGACGACTCTGATTTCTCATTAGTTACAACTGAGCCATTCAAACCATCTAACATATGGCTGATGGATTCAGCTTGTAGCTATCATATGTGTCCCAACAGGGACTGGTTCATTGATTTTCAAGAAGGGGAATGTGAAGTTATTCACACCGTGAATAACAATCCTCTTACCGCATATGGTATTGGTTCAATCCTATTAAGGAACCATGACGGATTGATCAGAACATTAACAGATGTTCGATACGTACCAGAATTGAAGAAAAAACTCATTTCTGTAGGAGCCCTAGAGTCAAAGGGGCTCAAAGTCGTTGCAGAAAATGGGATAATGAGAATATGCTCCGGTGCACTAGCTAGTGGTAATGAAGGGAATTCGGCGAAATAATAACATGTACCACTATCACGGTAGTAGTGTTATTGGGACAGCAACAGTGACATCCAGTGAT